TATTATTATTATTATTATTATTATTATTATTATTATTATTATTATTATTATTATCTTCCTCCCACATCCCTCCCTTTCAGATCCCTGCAGGCTTTGGGCCTGCTTCCCATCCTACTGGATCTCACATCCTCCTCCACAACCCCCATCACAGCTCGGTCACTTAGGTTTTCTGCAGATATCATTTGGGAAATAGCCTCTCTGCCACATGGCCTTCCTACATCACTTGGCTCCCCTTCTCAAATGCAGAGCTTTAACTGGTAGATTTGTTAGCTGGGGCACAGTCTGGTTTTCTATGATCCAATTATAATACAAGAGGAAAGTTGAAGTCCCAGCAGTTAAGAAAAGATAGATCTCATTTATGGAAAACAGTCTATAATGCAACTCCAGAGGAAACACTACAAAATATTCTTCACAGTATTTCCTTTGGAATATATGCCATACATCATGGAGATATATGAGGGTGGTCTTAAATTGCACCAGCCCCTTATCAAGAAGGGGCGCAAAATTTAGGAAACTTATTTATGCTGATTGGCATTTCATAAAGTTAAGACTTAATTAAAATATAACAACTATTTGCTTGAATTATTATCAGCAATGTGCTGGTGTAATATTGCACCATGCAAAAGAACATTTAGAGCCATTCCATGGCAATATCCTTTGGCTTTTAATATATTTACAGGAGGATTAAACAGCATGCTATTTTAACAATGTCAGCATATGTAAAGTCTTATCTCACTCAGTGCTGCTCAAAGACACATTACCCAGTTATTTTGTACTCAAAAGGAATTTTGCCAACCACACACAATTGCTAGCATTTTCCATAGTATTTCTTCATATTAAAAAATATATTATCACAATTCCTCTTCTGGTTTTTTTGCAAATAGCCTCTAGTTCTATCCTGGCTACATTAACATTACAAGTTTAAATAATTGCAAAATTTAACATTTCTCAAAGGCAATACAAAGAGAAATTCCTCTCATGAGTAGTCAATATAGCTAGAAGAAGAAAATAACTCATCTTTTTGACAGGTTGCCATATCAGATACAACAAGGAGAAATACAACAGATGGGATTTTTGCTTCTCTGAATCTTCCTATCAGAAGAGGTATAATTCAGCTATGAAATGACATGAAGCTTTTTTCAGTAATCTTATTTCTAATAAAACTGACTTCTGATTCTGGAAGTTGACTTTTTTTCTCTAAATATTCCCATTCTAATGGCCATGCAAGAGCATTTTCACCTCTCCTTTTCCACTTGAGATGGACCCGATTCATCATGTGAAAGAGTTTCGTATTTCCACCAAATGGAAATTTTGTAGAGAATTGCGGGAAAAGCCAATAATGTAAACCAAAAATGTTTTTTTGTGGTGGCTGCAGTAGATAAACCTCAACAACTTTAAAAAGGAATGCGTATATTATGCTTCTACATATGTTCATACAATTAAAGCAAAAGATGCTTACGCTTCCTTCCCCACATTTAGTTCCTGTCCTAACAAGAATGTCAGAACTTGAGAAGTGCAAAGCTTTTATGTGGGATTCTGAATTAATTACTCCGTGAACAGACTTCTCCTGGCTCCGTTCTAAAACATCACAATGAATTCAGGATAAACAACACCGAAATTGGTTTACAAAATTCAAAACCCCAGTACTTAGCAACAGTTACTAGCTTAAATTAGTGCTATTTTTAACAGTAGTTGAAAGAAATTCACAGAGGATAAAAAATGAATATAGTTCTCAGCTCCAGAACTTTGGATCATCAAATGGGGGATACAGCTCTACCAACATCAATTAAAAAATGCTTTTAGGCTCTGCTTCTATATTTGGCTAACTGCCAAAGAAAAAGGCAGTGCTGGATTGTATACTATATGAACACTCGTCCTGGTCCCACAGAAACCCCTGCTTTCCCCTATAAGAAATCCAACGTCAGGGAGTGCAGGCTCGCCACTCTACTCCCTTCAGTGAAACTACTATAGAGAAGAATTACAATCGCCAAACGTGTTGTAAGGACTTTTCTCTTCTCCACGCGACTTGCTCGCACTAGCCCCATAGGCAGCTTGACTTGTTTGCAACTGAACGCTTATAACAGAATAGACCCGCTTTCCCACCTCCCAAGTAACGGCGAAATATAAAGTAGCCGCCCGAGAGCGACAGCCAAGGCGTCTGCCTTAAAGTGGCAGCTCCCCACTAGTTCAAAACGCCCAGCAGCCTCGCCAGGTTACACCTTCGCACCTGGGCAGTTAGCCGCGTCTCGCTTAACAGAGGAATTCCGCTGGCTTTGGGTACGTCCCGGTTCCCGCCTAGTTTTGTTTTGTTTTTTTTTCCTTGCAGGTGGAGTCACGCGAGCGCCGCCTAGCGGGCACGCAAGTGTGAAGGGCAGGGGCGGCTTACCTAGTCCAGGTACGAAGGTGTTGAGGAACAAACAGAGGACGGCTACAGGGAACGGCATGTAGGGGATGGCGGCGCGCAAGGGTCCCTTCTTCTCGCGCACTTGCACTACCACGCCGCCGGAGGAGGAGGAGGCGGCAGTGGTGGTGGCGGCGGCATTTCCTCGCGCGGCATCGCCAGCGGTCGGCCCGGCAGCGTCCCCTTCTTTGGGGCCATGGTCCATGGTGCCCGCTTTAGCCGGAGCAGCGAGGAGTAGCTGCGCCCCAGAGCGTCTCCGCTCGAGTGAGGCTCTGACCGGGACTCCGCGTCCGCCTCAGGACAAGGAGGCGCCTGAGCTCAAGTGGAGGGATCTCAAAGGCGAGACGCGGTGCTAAACGCGCGCCCAAGCGCCCGACTACGCCGCTTGGAGAGACCGCGCTACGCACGCTCTCGCCTTTCGCTTATCCTCGCCCCCCCGCCCGCGCTTCGCCCGCCCGAAGGCGAGCGGTAGATTGATGGCCTTTATGCCTCTTTCCTCGGGTCCCGTCTTCACAGGCTCTCTCCGACCGCCACGTTACAGGGGGACTTGGCTTATTCTCACCTGTTCTGCCTCGTCGAGTAGTTTTTGTAGAAAGTTATGAAGAATCACTCTTTACCCCCCTCTAATATTTCACACGCATAGACATTTCAAGAGTGCAGTAGTTTTAATGGGGCAACTTATGCCCCCCCCATACCCATACACCCCCCCCCCACACGCAACTATTAAGTGCATTGTCCTGATACCGCTAGGTCAGAGGTAGGCAACCTTGGCTCTTTTATGACTCGTGGACTTCAACTCCCAGTATTCCTGAGCCAGCATGGCTCAGCTTGGAAACCTCTCCCTTTCCCCTCAGCATGGCTGGCCCAGGAATTCTGGGAGTTGAAGTCCACGGGTCATAAAAGAGCCAAGGTTGCCTACTCCTGCGCTAGGTTGTCTAGACATGAAATAGACGACTACTCTGCCTCTGCAGAAAGGAATTGTGACTTTTTTCTTTCCAGCTTTTAAACAGAGGCTCTGACCCGGATAGGGCCATTGAGTGCTCATCACTTGGTACAGGTAGTCCTCGACTTACAAGAGTTCATTTAGTGACCATTCAGAGTTACAATGGCACTGAAAAAAGTGACTTGTGACTGTTTTTCCACACTGTTGCAGCATCCCCGTGGTCACATGATCAAAATTCAGACCCTTGGCAACCGGTTTATATTTGCTGTGTCTTGGGGTCATGTGATCTGACATGCAAAGCCAATGGGGAAGTCAGATTCATTTAACAACCATGTCACCAACCTACCAGCTGCAATGAATCACTTAACAACTGTGGCAAGAAAGGTCCTAAAATGGAGCAAATCTCACTTAACAAATGTCTCACTTAATAACATAAATTCTGGGCTTAATTGTGGTCTTAAGTGGAGGACTACCTGTATTTGTTTAGTTTAGGTGCTTGAACTGACTGGAGGCTTTTGCAATGGCAAAACTAATTCAGAAGTGTAGTATGAGTATTATGTTCCTATAACTTAAGATTAGAAGCAAAGCACCAAAATATTTGTTCTGGTGTAGTTCAGATGCATTTTTCTAGTGCACATTAAAGTATACTTTTTCTAGTTTCCATCCATCTCTCCAATTTCATATTTTTCTTGATTGACTCTCATTCAATTTTTCATTTCCTTGCACGTAAACTCCTACAAGGTCTCTCCCATGTTTCATATAAACTTGGGGTTTTTTCTGTTAATTTTACATCCACCGAGGAAGTTATAACCACATTTATTGCCATATGATATGAGGATCTATTCTTTCTTCACTCTGGATCCTCAATCCGGAATCATATTCTCATCTCAGCTATGGCTTTCCCTTGCCTTGAGCTGGAGATACCATTTCTGATGCTATGACCTTGACAACTATCTGTGAAAGAGCCCAACGGATATCTTAGTTCTTCCCTTATCCTTTGTCCTGATTATCAAGACAATGGGACCAGTTTTATTGTCTTCCAATTTTTTTAAAAAAATACATAGATCATAGAGAACACTATAGAGAAAAGACGCAGCTAGTGGAAATAATAAATCAGTGAAGCACTATGCATACTTCCAATAGGGATTTGGATTACAGCAATGTTTCCCAACCTTGGCAATTTTAAGATGTGTGGACTTCAACTCCCATAGTTCCCCAGTTGCAGAGCTGAAATCCACACATCTTAAAGCATGCTGTCTGGGGAATTCTTTGAATTGGAGTCCACATACGGTATATTAAAGTTGCCAAGGCTGAAAAATACTGGGTTAGAGAATGCAACCCATTGGTTTGACACTTCATCTACTTTCAAATATTGGCAACTTGTGACCTTCAAGTGCGGATAGATTGTAACTTAATAATTCCAGGTGTGGCACAGCCAAATTTAAAAAAATCATCAATTTCCAAAAAGGTCCTCAACAAACTAAGTATCCATAACAAAGGAGGTCTGGTGCTAGCATAAAATACAAAATACTATTTTCATGCCAGAATGCTTTTGTCCAGCTCAACAGCAAGCTGGTTGTGAAATGGAGACATGACTTCAACAAATGGTCAGTCTTTCTGCTGTAGAAAGCAGGCTGTGTTCCAGTTAGAACTGATTGGTGGATTAATTATGGGAGAAATTCTGGCTAATCCCACATTTTCTTGAGATAAAAGAGATCAGGCTAGGACATGATGTTTTTTCTGCTGTAGCATCAAAGTTATCCCACAGCTTCCTTTGGAATTTGGTAAACCCCCACTGTGAGCATCTTCTGGAAAGCAAGAAAGACAAGTTGTATGGGAGAGCCTATGGACTTCTTTCTATTTTGCAAGTTTAACTTGTTTGATTGCATAAAATTGTTGCTGTATTTAGGGGTATATTTTAGTTAACTATAATGGTAGGGCATCATACTGTTTTGTGTTCTTTGTTAGATTGCTTTCCATGAACATGTTAGTGAATACTTTAATGTTTTACTTCTTACCGTAGGTGTGGGTGTTTTGTTACTTATACTGTCATGCATTTTATAGGCATTTTAACTGTTGTAAGCCACAAGAAGTCAAAATGAAATTGGTGGCATTTAAATTTGATTGATTGATAAGTAAATAAATACATTGAACTGTATAAATACATTGTATAATATAATTACATTGTATAATAAATACATTGTACTAACAGTGAGAAAAATTAACCAATGGAACAGCTTGCCTTCAGAAGTTGTGGGTGTGCCATCACTGAAGGTTTTCAAGAAGGAACTGGACAGCCACTTGTCTGGAATGGCATAGGGTCACCTGCTTGAGCAAGGGGTTGGACTAGAAGACCTCCAAGGTCCCTTCCAACTCTGTTACTCTGTTATTCTGTAATATAGTCTGGATTTTTTTTTTATCAATTATGTATAATTGTAATAAACAATTCCATTTTCATATAGACACACATTGCATGAGATCATATACACTGTAACAATTGAAAAAGAGGGGAAATTATAAGAAAAAGCAACGGTGTGTTTTATTAGTATTATTTGTTTGTTGCATGAAAACTGATTCCAATGCACAGCAATAGAATTAAATATTTAATTCCTATACAATGAGTGAAAACAGTTTGTTATGGTTTTTTGTTTCTTTTTCCTGTCTTTGAGTTATGGACATGTCCTGATACTGTGAGTTGTAAAAACCTTTTAATAGATGATGAGTAATTGTAATTCATTCTGCAACCTACTGTGTAGAATGTTAATAGAAGTGTCAGTTGTTTGGAATAGCGACAATGGTGGTGACGGAATATGTAAAATAATGAAAGGAAATATTACAAAGAGTCACAAGAGAAAATGTAGACATGTGACATTACAGAATAAAGTTGACCTCCGTTCAACTCAAGGCAATTTTTCTTGAATTGTGAATCAATTTAAACCATTTACATTAAAAAGGTATGGAGAGATGAGCTGTCTATCATTTTAATTAATCATTTGAATTTGTAGAAATTGGCTTTATTATCACAATGATAATAAAAATGTAAGAACGATAAAATCCAAGTTAACAGATAGCATTAAATTCAGTAAAGTCCTATCTGAGTTGTAAGTCAAAATAAAGAGCTAGGTATTGGGGGTCTCCCTGAAATCCTGTAATGATGAGTTCAGTGAGTATAAACTGAAGCAGTTCCATAATCAGAGAGACACTGTTGAAAATACCTATTCATGCTCGCCATCTTGATTGCTTCTTCTGTCTTAAAGACAATAAGGCTTCAAAATATAAAATGCATTGGATCCAAATAACTAGGATCCAAACTAAGACTTTAAAAACCAATGCCATTACTTTAAACTGAGTTCAGAATTGCACTGGCAACTAGTGCAAATTTACAGTAAAATGTACACGATCTGACCAACTTGAGCCCCCACATATTAATATTATGGCTTGGTTGTTATTAAAGCAAAGATAATTAAAACCAAATTAATGCTTTATAGTACAGTCTTAGCTGGTAAATGAATTGAAAAAAATCTTGATCAATACTGTATTACCATCTGCAGAGATGATGTACTTGATGCAAAGAGGGCAGTTAATTTCCTCTGAGACCAATATGGTAAAGTGGTGTTGATCCTATATCTTCTCTGGATTAGACTTCAGCTTGTTCATTCTCATTTGTCCCCAATTAACTCCAACATCCTTCTTGGAAAGAAAAAAAAATGAAATTTGAAAGAAAAGTTGAGTTCCATTTGCTGAAATGCAAAGCTGAGCAAGCCAGAATTCTCAGCTCTTTCCTTTGGCATTTGATAATGTTATCTCAGTATTGTTTTCAATAATGTAAAAACACATGAAAAAGAAGACTTAAGATTTTATCATCATTATCATCATCTTCATAATCATCACTTGTATGCTGTCTAACTCTCAGCAATTCTGGGTGGCTCACAACGATCAAAGAAATTAAAACAAATTACCTACCTAGAGAAAATTCAGTACTAGGTAATGAAATAATGGAAGTCAACTTTCCCTTCCTGAACTCAAAAGTCCAAGGGAATGTTGATGTTAACCACAAAATAAAGAATTTATTACTTCTTTATAGAAAAACTATGACAAATCTAGTCATATATTGTAAATGTAAAGTTTTACAGTTTAAAGATACATTGCCAGCAAACATTATATATTGCAAGGTCAGGTTCTTCCCAGTTGTAATATGTATCTGTGAAAGCTGGTTCATCAAAAAAAGCTGAATGAAGAAAAATCAGTTTCTTAGAATGGTG